CAAATAATGGGAATTCGGTTTTGCATATATAAAATTTAATTTTGCACTGGCCGGTTAGGTTGAACATAAGTTTTCCCAAATGGAAAGGATTTAGTTTTTATTTTTTACATTTATAAGCTAAGGTTCATTTTAACGCAATTCAAAATTTTGTAATCGAAAGTAAGAGAAACGTTTCCGAGAACTTAATTTGATTTGACAGTAATTAAGGGATTACATTGCTGAAAGCACATGTTTCAGGATACTTCACAGCTAGTCAGTGTGAAAATAATCACTTTAGGTTTGGCATTAAAAAAAGAAATTATCAAAATACCAAATATCATAGTGATTTCGTAAATTAAAATCCCGTCTAAGTTTTAAAATTTACTTACTTCTATGTATTTATATGCCTCTGCATAAAGTAGAGGTTTTGGATTATATTCTGGCGACAAAGCTGGTGAGAATTTTGGGACATTTTATTGTCGAAAAATTGGTTGAGAGCTATGAACCTCTCGGCATGCCCAGGAAGTTGGCAGAAATTACCATGATAGTGTGACACCCAGTTGTGTCTCTTTAATCTGAAGCCTTTCTCTCACTAGGCAGCAATGTTTACCCCTCTCCAGGAAATTCAAAGGAGTAGATACGATTAATCGCTTCGAAAAACGGAAAACAGTTCAAGTAAACAACAAGTAATTGTTTTACTTCTTTGATCGGGTTCGTGTCACAAAGAAGACTTCACTTCCCCGTATTTTAAGTCAAGGCACTACCGTGAGTGAGGGGCTTTAAACTGGAGTTTTCTGTAGTTGGAGGAATTTTGCTCCTTTTAAAGTTACGCGATTTGCGTTATCAAAGACGAGAAAGGTTAGGTGGTTGAGCAAAGGCGATATTAAACTTGGGCTAGTGATATTTGAATGACCGGAGACGTCTATCACTGATGGATGAGAAGAGGAGAGAGTATGGTGCATAAAAATTGAGTGACATCGATTTAAACAAAAATTATTTCAGAAAGATTCAACAGCTCACTTACGCACACACGTAATGCGAGATGATAGATTGAAGACGAAGCTCAGTCTCTTCCGCTTTAAACCCTGCTACGGTCAATTGAAGCAGCTGAACCCTCAAAGGTGCTCATGAAGTGGATAGCAGCACCATTGGCTTCCTTCTAACAAAAATTTGAAATACTACACCACTTCAATTCCTCCATCAACGATAATGGACTGCAGAAAGGATATAGGCGACCACCAACTAAATATTGACATTTTTTCAAGACAGTCGCCTCTCTGAGGCGTTCAAATTAACATGCAATCAGCGAATTTGGCCATTGGCATGTTTACTTGCTGGAGGCAATACTTTGTCTTAATTTGAACAATGGATCGAAAAGCAGTTGCTTTTGCTGATGTGACCTTATTTTTACCACCTTCCCTCCTAATAACGGAGTAGAGCGGAGAGAGAAGGAAGGAAGGAAGAGGAGAGCGGTATTTGATTCTTGTCTGCGTGCTGCCTAATAATCAGAGCCACCTGGGAAGTGAATAGAATGCCCTCCATTCCCCTTTTCTCCCAGTTTTTCGGCGCAGTTACAGCCCATAAAAGATTTGCGAAGGATGATATCTCTTCTTTAGCTAACTCATCCCATACCTTTTTTAATATTTAATGAATAAATAAGCAAAATGGCGAGATTTAAGCCAATTAATCAGGAATCGTCTCATTCTGGCTTTCTTGACAAGCGTAATAAGGGAGTGGTGGTTGATGTTGGAGTAAAAGTTTCTTTACTCCAGAACCGAACTCCGCATAAATGGCAGGAAATTTGTAGCTATGGCTGGGAGAGTCCTTCATAAATAATAGTGTGTTAATGAAGCATTAGTGTTCATCGATGGAAAACAACACACAGAACATAACACCGCATGGACAAATTGCCTTATGTAAAGGTGTCCATGTTTGGTGGCATTTGCAACGCAACATTTTGGACCAACTGGAATAAATTGAGGCAGCATATTTCCCACGGACCCATGAAAGTGAGAATTTCATATTAAAAATAACACCGTCTTATGAGTTTCCAGGGATGAACAAATTCCCAAAATTTTGTGAAGTGGGCACTCATCAAAGTCATTCATTACATCAAATTCTTCCATTGCTAGATACGATGAGATATCGCAGATAGTCAAAGAAATGTATTTAAAATTGGAGAACCGGGTTCAGGCGTAAGGCTTGCCAAAATGTCGACGTATAGAGAAAGAAAGGGAAAGACAGTGACATTCGAATGACTCCAGGGTAAGAAGGCCGCCAAAATAACAACATTCATGAATTCATTAAAATCTCACACTCATCGTTCATCAGCTAAATAATCAGAGCACACGTCAGAAAGTGTCAATCACTTAGCAAACAATAAACTATATAAAACGCTAGAGCATCAAGCGGTAGCTGAAGGTTAATTTTATGTTATGACTTTGGCTTTGGCAGACACCCATAAAATACGCGCACGAATCAAATTAAACGTCCGGAAGCCGTTCATCCAAGAAATTACTCAGCACAAGGAAATAACAAAGCGATTTTTCAGGCTAAAGAGATTTAGGTTAGAGCCTAGAAAAATGCATTTGTTAGAATTCGTGCTTCATTTACAATATCAGAACAAAAGGAATATCAAATGAAGGAAGGAAACCACGCTACGTTATCTTGGCTCATATTTGTTTCAAAATACCAAATGAAATATTGAAATTTGAGTGGTTTTGTCCTCCGAATTTGTGAGGTTCCTTGCACGTATGGTCTTGGACACAAGACCTAATATTGATCAAAACGGACAAGAATTGCGAACCATATAAAATACTCACAGACATTCGGACTAATCACTGAGACTTCAAGGAAGAATATAGGACGCATCATTTTAAAAACATAAGGCAAAAGTGCCTATTTTTAAACATAGACCCGCCCCACAATTTTTACCCTTATTCTCGATTTTCTGATAAGGAATACGGCCTGCGGATTTATTGGCCATTGCTATCCTACTAGTCCTAAGGAGCCCTCAAAATTTCATGATCACGTACAAACGAAACTTTCGCCTTTGTCATACAGTAAACTATTATGCTGACGAATACACATTAAAAAAATAATTCTAAATCCTTCCCTACTGATAATTTACGTTCGATCCTACACAAAAGTATCAGAAATAAAATTTTACCTTCCTTTTCATTAATTAATGCTAATACCCTATTAACCAATATTAAGCATAAAATCTTATTTCATCCGCATTTATGATCCTGTGTACGGCTTCAGTCATATTGTTTTCATGATTTATAAATTTATGTTTGTTTTATTCAGCTATGATATGGCACATTTTACAGCCTTGATCCCAAAAACGAGTTGATTTGGGTTTGTATACGTGTGCTACGTACTATTGTTAATAAATTTAATCTACAAGACCCTGACGCTTAAGGTATTTCTTGCACTTCGACTTTTATTTTATGAGTAGACGGAATATTTATAAGGCTCTTTTGATTAAATCAATTGTCAAACGAGGATTGAAGAAAAACTGTTTTCCCGTCTATTTTAAGATATTATGCAATCAAACGTTGAGGATTTTGACCACGAATGTGGTACCGCCTCTGAAAGCCCAATATTGGTCGGGCCTAATGGAGACCAAGGGACACATTCGTTTTTTTCCTGGTGGATCGCAGTTCTTCTGATTTTCTTTGGCTTAAGTTCGTGGATTGCCATTAATGGCCTATGGATGGAACTCCCGCTTCTGGTGAATGTTTTACCAGAAGGTTGGAATTTGCCAGCTTACCTTTCTATCATTATTCAGGCAAGTTCTTTCCCTCTTCGTTTTCCTCTCAGTTTGATCTTTCATCACATTTTGCTCCTCTTTTGTAACGCCAATTTAAATTACTCAATTAGTGTGCCTAATCTTGTTTGCGCAGACTGCACCACGTCAAAATACATGGATTGTTTCTGTTTAGGTTCTAATGCTAACACAAATAATTGATAGTTAACACTTAAACGCTTTGGTGTGTTGAAGGTGACAAATGTGTGCTTATTTATCGAACAGAGAATGGAAATCATATGCTCATTTTCCTTAGGCATGCCAATCTGCATCCACGAAATTGAGTTGAACTTCTTATGCTTTATTATGGTTTGTTGTGTGGACTTCTGCTGATTTAAATTTTAAAATTCGTTCATAGGTTTCACTTTATTGCATTTGGACTTAATAGCCGTCTTAATTTCGTCTTTTTCTTGATCATACATTTTGTCCCTCAGCTTGCCAATATTGGTCCTCTGATATACGTTCTGTTGACCCGAATTTGTCACATCTTTGGGCGAGCTCAGAGCCGCAATTGTTGTACGGGTCTCATTCAACCGCCGGAGCGCCTGGCCAACTATGTCATTCTCTTTGTCGGATTAATCGCCTCAATTTTGCTAATGTACTTCTGGAATGTGAGTTTCCCTAAAATCTCTTGGGTCCATTACGCATGGCGTATCTGTGTGTATGTACTTAGAATTCACGGTTGCATGTGTACATGATTTTAAACTTGGTGCGTGCGTGCCAATCGTTACATGTCTGCATGAAGAAGGTAATATGGCTTATTCTTTTTTCATCACAAGTAATGAGGCTTAAATAGTGTGGTAGAAGTTATCACTGTGTAATTTTTACCCTTGTAGGCAGTAGTTGTGATGCCAAGTCTTCCATCCAATGCGGTGTATGGAAAGCCGGTGACCCAAGAGGCCCTTTATGGACACAGTCTGGGACTCTTTGTGCTGACCTTTGCGTTGGGCACGATTGATTGTATGTCCTCCGTCACCTTCCTCGCTTACCTTGCAAATATGCCAGCGGTTTACGCAGGAGCGTTGCTGTTCGGTGAAACTGCATCCGGTCTTCTACCCAGCCTCTACGCATTTGGCCAGGGAGCCATTGCTGAGCCCATCTGTGTTCGAAATATCAGTGGTATTTACATTACAGTTCTCTGGTTTTCAAATATGTGTCGCAGATCCATCATACATTCACCCTAAACAGAGCTCATCCATTTGATTCCATTCACGTGAATCGAAAGTTACTTCGCAGATTGTTGTTCATTGGGTCAGCATTCTGCTGAAAATGAAAGCTATCCATATCCAAAAGTGATGGCGGATAGTTTAAATTTTCTTGCTTATCTTCACAGAGAACGGAACGACAACGTACTTTCCCGTATACTCGCCGCCCAACTTCGGAGTATCTGCCTTCATGGGTCTGATAGCGGGTACCACGGGTCTAAGTTTGTTGGCTTTCGGGTTGCTCGACTGTCTGCCTATGGCCCTCGGCCGCTCAGTCACACAGGCTTATCGGCGTCACCTCGTTCCTTCAACTGCTCCTAACTTTGATTCCACGGACCTACCCACGCCAATTCGTGTGTTCTCCTCTCTTCAAGCTCTTAATTGTCGTATTCGCCTACTTGAGTATTGTCTTCTTTTACATTAGTATCAGAGGTGGAGTCAGGTCGAGCTGATGCAAATGGCCTCTTCTGGATCTGTTTCCTCCTGATGAGTTATACCAGCTGTCTGACTAATGGACTTTTACCCTCATTGCAATCCTTTTCCACTGCTGCTTACAGCACTCGCACCTTCCATCTGGCTGTCACGCTATCCGGTCTTACGGCTCCTCTGGTGGCTCTTGGCGTCACTGCCGTCTACGGTTACGACCAGCTGGGTCTGTGGATGCGCTCGATTCTCCGCTGTTTGTGCTGTAAAAAGAACAAGTCTTCTGTGGTAAGTCATTTAAATGTTGTGTCCAATTTATCTTTAGCTATTGTATAGCCAATTGATTTGCTTTTAGCACAATCGAGGTTCATCTGAGGAAGTCATTAAGCCGTCAAAAATGGCCTCCATCATGGGTAATCAACTTGCAATAATTTTGACCCTCATTGGTGTGATTGGAACACTGTTATCCGGTTACATTATCTACTTGGCCAAGGCTTCGCCTTCACCGCCTCCTTTTGGAGGCGCTGGTCCTACTTTTTCGGTGAGTTTTGTATCCCATAATTCCGTAAAATACACACATAATACGAGTGGTTCCATTCAAATGTTGAATTTTAAGTGCAATGTGCGACGCAGAACAAGTGAACTGGAACTAGCATTCGAAAATTCTAAAAATAATGCACTGTGCGAGTCCTTTGCAATGATTAAAAGGATGAGGGAGTCTTTCCACGCTGTAACGCCTAGACTGTAGAACTACCCCGCCAACATCGAATGCGTTACACTTTACTTGACATTGAAAGCTGCCGTGCGTTGGTTGTTGGACGGGTGCAGTGAATGTGTTGTTTACCCTTTTGGTCAAAGGTATGACGATTACACTAAACTTGAAGTCGGAAACGCAGGTAGGCAGAACGATAACACTGGTAGGTGTAATACCACTATGGATTCATGCTTTGTCAAGCGGTAGGGGGAGGAAGGATTACCTCATTCGTTTGAACATTTGTCATTTGCGATTTGCGACTAATTTGCATTGTTATTGTTATAGGTTTTGGCTTGGATTCTGATGACTGCGGCTTTTGGGATCCAGAAGACGTGGATCACCCTATACTTGGTGAAGCATGGCACTCAGCATAATCTGCGAACTCTAGGAGTCGCCACTCAAGTCGGTTCAGCAGTGGGTGCTCTCATAAGCTTTCTCATTACCGCAAAATTCAATATTTTCGTCTCGAAGCCTCCCTGCCAGTAAATCTACCAATACTCAACTTTTATGCGTATTCCATCCATTTTAAGAATAACTTTTACCGCTCTCAAATGACCCATTCTCGTCCTCACTCACTTACTCCCGGACAAAATGTTTCAGTGTTAAAAATTGTCACTATTTGTGCGTTGGGATGAATGAATTCTAATAAATTGGGTTACTCTGACGCTCATCACACCCCGGTCCAAAAAATAGACTTATGACAAATGACTTTACGTGCGACGCGACAGTGTGGATTTCTGCCATTTCTCCATCGCACAACATCTCCTCATTGTACTTATTTAAGACAGCTTTCCTCAATTTCACCATCATTTTGACTGTGAAATAAAGAAATTCGGAGTCATGGAATGAATGAAGGTAAGTAGCCGAAGATAAAAGCCAATGTAAATGATTTTAATTGAGGGAACGAATCTTTCCCGAAAGAAATGTGCAGAGAGTGGATAGCATCTCTGCTGTATGCCACCGGAAGGATGAGAATGCGATGCTGCTTTGTTCTTTACAATCACTTGGGCCCAGTCTAGACTACGAGGAATTGATGCTCGCTTCAACTTCATAACTCTAATAGAATTCAGTGCAGATGTTGCGGAAGCTCCGCAACTTGGCAAATTTGCAACTGAGGCCTAAACCATAGTCACGGGTTGTGAGGACGTGACCCAAAGACAACGCATCAGATGGGGAATTGAGCCTTTTTTTAACGCCTATATGGATGCTCACCGAGCTGGGATGTGGGATTTAGCAGTATGTTCTGTAGACGGTGCTTGAAACTGTGGTACATCGACGATGCAACAAATTATAGCTAAGATTCTTGAAGGTGAGTAACTGAATACTATATACCCAGAATGAGACGAGTAGCTAACCCCTTGAAAGACTTGGATATGCTCGTCTGCAGGATAGAGTGCAATCGTGCACTACAGTCCACGAAATTAACGGTACCTCTTGACAATCTACGCGAACCACCCCTCTCTCGAAGGATCCTATCTTATAAGATGAAAAGCTCCTTTTAAAAAAGGATAATAAAGCTCGAGGGTGATCAAAAGACAATGCAGGCAAGCTGCACACAACTAACATGAAAAAATGAAAGCGGATTGATATTGACTACCCATTGACGATAAAAAGATGCATGAGTTGTTTTGACTAGCTGCTAGCTATTGATATCACGACTCACCCAAGCGGTTAGATAGCAATTACGACAGTGTATACCTCTACAAGATGGCTCTAAGTGGGTCTTTAGAAACGTTCAGGTGTATTCGCCAATCAAAAGCAGACAACTTTTTTCCTCACTTTGTAATTAGCCCGGTTTTCAAAAGTATTAGCGCTGACTGGCATTACTTTTAAAAGGCCCTACAAGCGGTATTGAACTACCCTCCATATTAACTATAAGAATTTGCTATTTAAAACGAATTTAAAGATAGGTTCCTAGTAAATAATGGGTACAACTTATAAAGTAATTTTATTCGATTTTATCTACTTCAAAGCTAGCAGTTGCAAAAGAAAAAAGGCATACTTTTACATATTGCTTGTCAGAATTCAGTAATTCAGCAATTACAAACATTCATTAAGAAATGGGGCAATGAAACATTGTACAAGAAGCAAAGTTGTATTTTAAAACGTTGGCGAGATGACTGACTAAATGTTGTATGTCTAAGAGATGCAGCTACGTTCGAACTCTCATAGATGGAATAGTGCTAATTGTATGAACACAGTGAGTCTTAGGCCGTCTTACTGTGTTGGAGTCGGGCAGACTTTGTGCATTCAGGCATTGGTGAGTGGAATGCACTCATAGAAAGACATTCTCCAACATTTTACACTTCAACCGCAATGACCCCATCCCCCTCCCTCCCTACTAAAGCACATCATATAAAGACAAAGAGGCAAATTTTAACAATCTTGATAATGTGATCTGTGGAGGCGCCAATATGTGTATCATGGTCCTGATTGTGTGTTTGGAAGACGAAATGCTTTTCAGTTCAGGTATCCTTAGACTCGAAGTCCCTCTTATGGCTTTAAAAATACACGGTTTCATGGTTTTGACTTCCGTTGGGCACCGATTGTCAACCATTACCCCTATCATTTTGTCAATAAAGCCTCCTATTAATGGCTACGATTCTGACATTCTGCACATGAAAAAGCAGATAGGGCAGATGTTGACGTCAAATATACTTAGCATCCTGACTCATGCGTCTCGTATCAGTGGGCTGTGCCTTGAATAACAGCGTTAGAGATGGTCGACAAAGAAAACCATTCGCTAAGCAGAACGGAGTGAGATAGAAGGTGGACTAGAAAAGTCCCATTATCTCTTTATTCTTCGTGAATTGGTCACCAGTTTGGTGCTACGACAGCCGAACAAAATTGAAAAACAAACGAAGTTTGACATGTGACTAGTGCAATCATGAAATTGGACGATTCAGTAAATTCTGGTGATAAAATGTCCATTCAAACAAATAAAGCTCCAGTAACGCATAAAACCAGCAGCGTCAGTTACCCCTTCGTTCATGATTCATTCTCCGCCTTGCTAGCCCTAAATTTTATAATTTTGGAAAGTCTAGAAATGTCACATCTCCGCATGTTAGTCACTAAAACATGTCAAGACTTTTGGGGGTGTGGTGATACCTATCGTTACCAAAAAATTGAACTCATGCAAAGTTAGGCTTCGCAGTCGTACGCTTCAACTCCCTCGCCTCTTCACTCTCCATTCCGGAGCTCAATTGACGAGGATCTTCTACATCGACGAGAGGTCAAAGTGATATTAAAACACCCCAAAAAGCTAAATGTTACGGCACAAAGGGTACTATCAATTTCAAAACCGCATTCAGGTCCAGCGCCACACATGTAACAAATTCGTTAACAACTGATAGAAAAAGAAAATTCTGGCAGTCAGCAAGGCGAAGCTTATATAACACCTTCCCCTCGTCAGTAGTACTTATGATACATTCTGCTACCAATTAATGGTGGTTGAATGCCAAAATCAAGTCACCATAATTGAAACGCATGCACTCATTTAAATTCCACAACAGGTAGATGTCACGCCTTGATCATTCTATTTTGCAGTGACATCCCCTCTCCCACTTGATGCCAGGCTCTGCACGCATTGTATGCATGTACTTCACCAGGATGCAGAAACCCACTTTCAGACAAGTAAACCGATGCGATCCAAAGCTTCCCTATAGTCAGAAGGGAATTAAGATGGCATCCTACGACCCGTCAATCGCAATTCATCACCTACTATGACGAGTTCAAGAAATAAAAGAGAAATTCAAGAACGAATGACCCACAAGGAGGCAAAAACATAGACAATGAAAAAGTTATACAAGAAAGCAATGATCGTGAAGATTCCGAAGTTATGTACACGGTACTTTGGGAACAAAGACGTTCAATTTGGCAGTGAGAATGAAGCTTACTAGAGCACCCATTACTGAACCAATCTGGCTGGCAATTCCCAATGTTCGCAGATTTCGTTGACTGCCATGCTTTACCAGATGCAACGTGATCCACGTCTTCTGAATGCTCAACGCCGCTGTCATCAAAATCCACGACAGAACCTGAACATAGTCAATACAAAAGAGCAGAAATGCATTTCGTGCATAAACATTAGTCTAATAGCAAAACCAATCAATTATTATTTGAACCTACGCCAAGCACTGTAAGTTTATGTCACACCACGACTTTCCATGACGCGTGGCAATATTAACTATATTAAGTGGCCGTAGTCCTTTACAACGCCTAATGAGTAGAGACACGAACCAATAGTGGATACTAAATTCCAGATTTAGTAAATATAGTGTAGGCTACACACTATCAGTCCCTCTTTCCAAATACCAACCCTCCAGCTGCCATTGTAGACCCGTCTAGTGTCACATTTCCACTACACCAACTCCACAGTTAGCGCAGGGCGGCTGCCTTATCCTCACTACCTCAATAGTTCAAGACTTTTGCACTATGTCAAGTAGAGGCAGCAAGGTTTTGAGGACGGTCACTGTACCAGTGGCAGATAAAAGGCTTTAATGAAATGATGTGACAATCTTTGACTAACTCATCTTTAAGGTAGAGTACTTCATGTCGCTTATTCACCAGTTTTATAAACTCGGATCAACCTTGAAGTAAAGCTCACACTCTCAGCCATTAAAATGAGATGAAAATGGGATTGTAGATACCAAAAATGGATGTACAGACCTACCGAGAATGCAGAACCGGCACCTCCAAGTTGTGGTGGAGAAGGAGATGTGGCGGCCAAAAAAATAATGTAGCCAGCAAATAATGAGCCAATAACGCTGAGGAATGTTAGGATTAATGCCAACTGACCACCTTCAATAGAGGCCATTTTTGTTGTTGGATGTCGGGGTGTTTGGTGATTGTCGGATTCGGTAGAATCCCAATGCTCCTGCAACGTCCTCAATTAAATGGATGTCCAATCAAACTAGGTTTAATTAGGAAGGGAAGGAAAAGAACCTTACCACGAGAGGTCGGCTACTAGTACAGAAGCAGAATCGGCGAAGGACGTAGCGTATCCAAAGGCCAAGTTGATCGTAGCCATAGAAGGCAGTGACGGCAACAGCCATGATGGGTCCTGTGATGCCGGACAATGTCACGGCCAGATGAAACGTTCGCGTACTGTAAGCGGCAGTGGAGAAGGACTGCAATGAGGGCAGCAACCCATTAGTCAAGCAGCTGGCGTAGCCCGTTAAAAGGAAACAGACCCAAAAGAGACCATTTGCTGTCATATCACGAGGTTCCACGGTCATTTCCATCGATGATGCCGTGGCTGGTTTAAAGACAATGGTAAGCCGTGTTTAGGAGTCAGACAAGCCGGGATGATGCGAGATGAGTGACAAAGTAGAGACCAGACGAACTTATAGACTTGGTGGCATCCTCGCATCTGCCACCGACGTCCTCGCCATTGGAAGCTGGTGGAAGGGAGTGGTGCCGCTGATACGAGAGCGTTATAGAACGGCCGAGTGCTGTGGGCAAACAGTCGAGCAGCCCGAAAGCCAAAAGACTGAGACCTGTAGTACCTGCTATCAAAGCCATAAAAACGGATATCCCGAAGTTCGGCGGCGAATACACTGGATGGTACTCTGCTGTCCCGTTCTCTGCAAGAATACGAAAATGGATCAGAGCTTCCTCCAGTGACCATTAGTAGTGGTAAAAAATTTTGATACAAAGAAGTAAAAAAAACCAACCCTTTATTTGACCCAACGCTTGTCAAAATGGAAGGCCTCATCATTCAACGAGGATTGCATGATCTGCCTGCCATGATCTCACCACAAACGACTGTAAATTTGTGAGGAACAAAATGCTACATAATTATTTAGGGTAAAAAAAATTCGCTGTATTGGCAAACAAATCACTCGTCAAACTTGGCAGTCCAAGTGCAAGCATGACAGTTGCTTATGCATAGATTTGGAGAGCGGAGAGTAAAAGATCTACCGCAATGTATTGCCTGTTGATGAGGTCTTCACATCACCGGCGAGAGCCCACTTCTCTTGCATTTTAAGAAGTGACGATATAAATATTAGCTGCTCTAAATCATTTTCGATCGATAAGCTTGAGGAATGATAAAAAGTAGTCTAACTATTAGCAGATATGTCCAGCACTCATACCGCCAATTCGAGAATAGCAAAAGCCAGGTCATCCATCCCATTTGAAAAAGGGAAATTAAACGAGGAGCCGCCAGGAATCAGACTTAGATATTTATGTCCATAAAACTACTTGAGAAGGACGGCAACGTGTTTCACTTTGCCGGTACAGGACACCACATACCCTCAAAAGTATGATCGCATGGAAGATTATGTAAATAAAGAACTATTGGGACTGATTTCCGTGTTATGTATAACAGAGAGCATAAACAGGTTCCAGTAGACTGTCTCTTCTTTAGCCAAGGCCACAAAATCGGTAAGTTATTTAGACCCTATTCGAGAGAACCATTGATATTATTGAGATTTAAGTACCGTTGACGAAGGGCACGCAGACGGCCTCAGTTGTAACTCCCTGGCCAAGGGCATAGAGGCTAGGTAAAAGACCGGAAGCAGTCTCTCCAAAGAGCAGAGCACCTGCATACACCGCGGGCATATTGGCAAGGTAGGCAAGGAAGGTGACGGAGGACATACAGTCAATCATGCCTAGTGCGAAGGTCAATATAAAGAGGCCCAAACTGTGTCCGTACAACGCCTCTGGTATCGCTGGCCCTCCACCATTTGCAACGTTTACAGGCAGGCCTGGCATTAACACTACTGCCTACAAGACCATAAACCATTTGTGAACACTCGTCTACAAATAACTTCGAGTCACCCAAAACATCTTTAAATCAGAGGCCACATCGCTGACACTAAATTTTTTGGTGCGGACTTACATTCCAAAATTGGGTCAGGAGAAGCGAGGCTGTGAGCCCAACAGTGAGAATGGTGTAGTTGGCCAGACGTTCTGGCGGTTGAATGAGGCGCATGCACCAGTAACCACTCTGTGCTCGGCCAAAGTTGCGGCAAATTTGGATCAGCAGAACATACACCAATGGACCTATGTTGGCCAGCTACGAGGGAGGAGGGAGAAACACGGGAAGTGAAAATTTGAAATCTCGATGCAGTAAAATGAAGGCCTAAGAGGGACACATGAAATGTTAAAAGGTGTATCAGAAAAGCAAAAAGATAATGACTAGCAATCCCATAGAATCTGGACTTAAATGAAGTCAAAGATGATGCTTAGAGATCTTGTCTGCACTCATCTTTTACAATGCACTAGTGCCTGTGTAGAACTAAACTTTTATGCCCTTTTAAAGCCGGAAAACAACGCTAGGTTCAAGTTGTCAACACAAAAAGACATCTCCGTAAAGGGATCCAGCGTAGTAACATCCAAAAACGTTTTTATAACCAACAAAACAAGTGCTAACAAACCGTAGAATTGTAACTTTTTTCAACTCAAGCGCCATATACCAGGCTTGCTCATAATCTCCTCACTCCATCTTACCTGTATGATGATAGAGAGATAGGCAGGAAGATTCCAACCTTCTGGAAGTACGTATACCAAGAGGGGTAGCTCCATCCAAAGACCGTTGATGGCGACCCATGAACTGATACCAAAGAAAATCAGAAGAATTGCATTCAGCCAAGAAAAAGACACTTGTGCTACGTGATCATCGCTAGGCTCAAGTATCGTAGGGTCGATGCATACCCCAGTATCACCCGATTCGTCTTGCCCATAATCAGTAGTCATCTCGACCGAGAAGAAAGTACTAGATTCAAGAAAGTCTGACATAAGCTGAATTTGTACCAAGTTTTCTTTTGCAAATTAATACAATGACGTTAGGAATATATAACAACACCACAAGTCACTGGCGCGCACCGACAAAGCCCGGGCGTGGAGTATGGAGACAATCAGAAACGAGCGCCAAGGTCATCATAGATGCATCGGAACGATTAATGGAAATGTGAACATAGTATAATAGGGTAAAATCAATAATATGGCCAAACTACATCGCCTGAAAACGCTTACAATATACATATACTTTTATTTCTTTAACAAAAATAAGTCGAGACTTTTTAAACTTTTTTGAACACATGCGAAAAAAGTAAGTTACAAATCTTCACCAAAAAATTTATGTGTGCTCATTGCATAAGGATTTTATTATAATACCCTATTCCGGCAGTGCGTGGTATGAACTTCCTCCACTATTTCATGTATGGTCTGTTACCTTAATATTAGTTATTTTTACTTTGTGGATGTGAAATCACTCTCGTGCGTAGAGCTATGACACATTTGCTTTTAGACAGTGTTTGTTGTTCTTATCAGCGTGCTCAGGCAATGAGCATGCATTTACTGAATTTAAATTTTCTGTGGTGAGTGAAATGCTTGTGGGTGATTGAAGAATTGCTTGATTTGCTTCTTCAAAAGAAACTACACCTGCTGTTCCCATACTTGAGGGTTTCGCATTTACTCTTTGTATGCGCAAATATATTTTTAATGCAGTATGTCTTACCGACCATCCCAAGAGAACCGGCGCCATTTATCAAGCATTGAATTGACTTCTTCATGCACGGATTCCGAGGAATCTCAGCTTCGTCCTCGAGACAACACATTGCCTTATCCCCCAGGGTTGGCAAATTTGGGCAACACTTGTTACATAAACGCAACTCTACAGTGCTTACTCACTATTCAGCCTCTTGTTGATTGGCTTATCAGCCAACCAGAAAGGTTATATCACCAAAATCCAAACCCTGATAGCCCTCTCCTAACGCCGGTTCTATCAAAATTGGTTGTGGCAATCTTTCAAAACAACTATAATTTTGAACTGGAGGAATTTCGGCGAGTTATCGGCGAACTCGTCAAGGTTTGTGTAACGCTATTCTTTAACCATTTATCGGTCACTACCACACTAACTGAAACTTATTCTCTGCTTCTCTTTAGGACTTTAAAGAGCCACGGGAACAGGACGCTCAGGAATTTTTGCTCTTCCTTCTCAATCGACTGCACGATGAAACAGTAGATTACCATAACGCTCGTGGTCCTGCCACTTCAGAAATTTTGCGAATCTTTGAAGGCACGTTACAAACCCAACTCTCTTATCAACAGCGTAAAAAAAAGGGGTATTTTTTTCGTTACAAACCGTCTCCTAATGAAACGAAGGGCAACTCTGAAGTTTTTCTCTCCCTCTCCGTCCCAATACCAGTATCTGGAAACAAACTGAAAGCGGCCACAGATTTGTTAGACAGCAATGCTTGCGATTTGAATATTGTGTTCAACGAAATCTTCAATGGCAATTCAGTAGGTCGAGGGAATAAGTTTTCTTCGTCTTCTTTTTATAGGCGTTATTTACCTTAGTTCTTCTCTCGTTACAGTCTGTTTGTTTCCGCCGTCTGCTGAAGGTGCATCCAAGCACGGACATTCAGAGTGTTTACAACCAGGTTCTCTCTTTCCCTCCCATTGGTAGCACTGCCACCTCTGCAGCTTCCCCGTCCTCCCTCACGTCTTTGCAAACATCAGGAGGCGGATATCCTCGGAACCCCAAGGAATCCACCTACGAAGAATTCCTCTCCGCATCCTCCTCTCTTTCTGATCCCTTCATCCTTGTGCAAGCTAAATCGACTGGCTTTGGTGAATGGTTTTTGGTAAGTACAAGTTTGGCGTAAATCTAAGTTTTGATTCAGTTTCGTGTCCTTACTAGTCTGTTTATGTTTTAAGCTCAAGTGCAAATGCATGCATGCAAGCATGTGTGGGTATTTGGACTTTAAATGTAGAATAAAGCGATGTCTTAAAATTCAACGTGCTTCTAGGCTGTTATTTATGTGGATGTTAAGCAGAGGCCTTGTCGTTTCTTGTTCCTTTTACTTGGATACCGATTTAGTGCAAGTTGGGAACTATGGAGGCAAATGCGTGAGATGAATGAAAGTCGTTAGTGTTTGTCCTCTTCCATCATTAGGCAGCGTTCTCTTCTATTGTTGCGTGCATTTCTGTGGGTCCTCTGCTTGTTTGCACCCATTGCTCATGACCTGACGATACTCCTCGAAGAATGCTTTCCATGCCGGACAATATTATGATTTTGATTCTATTTATTGGTAATTATATTGTCATGATAATTAGCAATTGTTTCGAATCCTCCTCATTAAAACGGTATTTTGAATACTTTTATTCTTTCCAACGTTGTCATTATCGTCTACATCAAACGGCACATGTGCGCTTCCCCACATGATGCGGCATTGAATTTCAGTCTCGTTATGGAATTCCACTGATGAGAATATTGGGCTTTAGCTTTGCGCGTCGTCAGTGGTTGCTTTTTATCTTCACAGGAAAGTTCCGGCCTTGCTGTCGACTTGACGGATGGTTTGAACATGGAGGACGATTTCTTCACAAATTCACATGTGTTGGAAACGGTGAAACGAAGCCTCCTCAACGGCGATGCCCTTTTCATCGTTCGCCTCAACAGCAAACCGCCAAGTGAAGAAACACAACTTACTTCTTCTTCCTTTTCTCTAAACAAAACCAGCAACTTGGATATTGATGCAGGGCAACAGGTGTTAAACTCCTCTTCCTCTAGTGTAAGTCGGCTCTCGTGGTGCAAAACTTCTCATTTCTATTTCATCTATTAGTTGATCTGATTTTAGTTTGTGTTTCTGTTGGCTAGCTCTAGGTCTTTGGGCTCTTGTCAAGCATTGGTGCTGCTCTCTTATGCAAATGCACAAATCTCTCAAGACCCAATCCCTTGTTTTGTTCCATGTCCGTTTGTGCTTTTATTCATAAATTCGCAACAAATCCATGTCATCCACCCTCCATTGATTGCATTATTTCTCTTTATGATTCCTAATTTAAAATGCAAGGTAATGGAGGAGTTTGTTTGAGCTTCTAATCGCTCTCTACCGTCCAACGCTGTAGCAGGCTGATTGGGTTTTCGTCCTTAGGGCTTGAAAGCTGTCATCACTAATGGGTTTTCCTATCCTTTGCCAGTTCATCAATCGTGCAGCATTATGAGCTTGACCATGATCCTGTTGTACAACTTACACCACTTCTTTTTACGCAGGCGGTGGAGAGCAGAATGCAGCTTCTTTTGATTCACGTGGAGGAACGTGAGAACCGTAAACTCTTTCACTCCCCTTCTGAAGACAATAACGTTGCTCGAGCCGCGAGCTTTCGAAGATTCTCACCTCCTCTCAGCGTTAATGTGAGTGCATTCCTTCACACGTCCTGTACATCGTCTCAACGACTACGAGTGCAAAGTTGTTTGTAAAATTGTTGCAATTTGTCATACGAAGTCAACGAATTGGGGACGGGTTTCGGATTATTAAGCTTATTTACCTCTATGTGCAGTAATAAACTTTTTTAAGGATAATCAAGCGGAATGGGGGTCTTGATGTGACCTCCAAGGCCATTAATGGATGTTTGCCTTCTTAATGTTTTTCGTGCATCTATGCGAATCCCGATTGTGAGGGTTTTAAATCTCCCTACTAGAATTTGAATGAAGCAACTTTAAAAGGTTGACGAGCCACTTTCGTTATGTTGGATGGCAAGTCATTGTCGATAAACACTGGGCCTACCTACAAAAATTGCACTAATATTGAATGAGGTTAGGAGTGCCATTGCAATCCTACTCATTTCTAAATATAGCAGACAGTTGGTGTGAGGGTGTGAATAACCACTGAGAAGGCACCTAGTATACTCCTAACCTAGTGGATCCTTCAAATTCATTTCTCGTTTATTTTTTGCTACCTCTCAGAGGGAAATCGTTGCATGAATATGCTTTCCACCAGAACCAAGGAATAGTTTAATGGATGAAGTTGTATTTGGATCTTTAATTCCTTACGGGGTTGTATGGCACCCCAGCGCATCAAGGCTTCATTGAAGGGGAGTAATCGGGTGTAGTATCTGCTTGTTCAAATAATTTCCTCGACTGATTTAACTCTATCACACATGAATGGTTCCACTTTCTTACCACTCTCGTAAGTTCTCGCTTTTTTGATTATTCTCGTTTTACCTTATTCATTCATCCCCTTCCCTCCTTCTAGGTTCCCAATGATATCCGTTTCGATTGCCTGCGCCTTCTGGCGCTGCAGTCGCTGTTAGATATTTGTGACAACCGCCCTCTAACCGAGTCAATGTTGACAAGTGAATCATATCGCAATGTCTGTTTCTGGATTGTCGATGCGGCACCTGGCGTGAGCTATCCTTATTATATTAAAAAGCTGTGCAAATTAATGTCCTTCATTGACATTTCGAGCTTTTGGTTGGCTATATTGACTTAAGTTTGGCATTTAACTCGGGTCTAACTCCCTGTATCACAGAAATACGCCATATTAGCTTCAACCGATAAGGTTTCCGCCAGTTAACCCAGGTCAGGCAACGTGCACCATTTTCCCGCGTAGAAGAGGAAACAAGTGCTAAGTAGTCTCAAGAGTCTGTAAAACCTCTCAACTATTGGGCGCTCTCGATTCATTCCTTTAAGAGGTCAGTCTATTCTCCAATAGACCAACGACATTTACACTTGCATTAACTTGGAAGAGGGATGGGCATAGAAGCTGTCAGATTTGACTAGATAACACTTGGGTGGATGGAAAGGCTTTCAAACTGTAGCTGCTTTGTCATTTCATTTGATTTCCATTTCGACTGCGTCCTGATTGGTTAGCCAATTTCGTGATGAAAGCCGACTTTTGTTTGCCAAAGTCATGCTAACGAGCGTGCCATTGGTTGCCCTCAGAGAATCCACTCATGGCTCATTTACACTTTGAAGATGTACGTCACCAAATCGCCATCCATGCAAGACGAACCGCTCTCCCTCTATGCTTACGGACTCAATTCTTCACTAGGAGCTGTTTACCCACTGTAAATGGTCTCCTTGGTGCAGGGAATTTAAAAGAACTAGCACTAGTGAGGTAGAAGGAATAGGATTTGTACCGGTCCTAAATTTACCTACTAGAATGAGGAGGGTGGTGCTGCCTTTCACCTCTTTTTCCTCCTTACACCCCTTCGGTTGCATGCCAAGCTGTCAGTTAGGTAGTGGGGGTGACTGAGCTTGTTACTTACATCTTAGAGGCAAAACCACTTACGAGAGTGAAATTAGTGGTAAACACGTGCTGCTGAGAAAAATCCGTCTCATGGCAATGCTAACTGCTCCGTTTTCAGTAACGACTTCAGTAGTTTGTTCGGTTACATATTTTAATGGTTTCGATACAAAAATCCCTAGAAATAGTAAAAACAGGTTCACTTTAATGTGTCTGGAGTGCTTTTTCAACTCTCTTCTAGGCATTAGACCGGAACAGATAGTATGGGAAGGCAAAACCCTCATTTTCAACTTTTTCAATGAATTGAAACAATGCTTGTTACCATGTCGACATATCTGGGTCATTTCCCTATAAATCTGTCCTATTTGTGAGCGAGAAGAAGGAGCTACCTCTATTTTCGTCTTGGTATTACCCTTACTGATGAGGTTTGAATATATTATTTGTCCATCGCAAGCAGTAATGAGTCAGGCAGAGAAAATGGTGCTGAGAATTATCCTGCTCCGTTTTCCTCACTTTACTTAACCAGTAGATGATGCTCCAAGGATTAGCTTTATCTTCTGCTTTCTGCGTCTTTCAAAAACAGGAACCCTGCGAGCTAGACTCAAGGCAGGAGTTTCCGTTACTTCACTCCACCATTGAGGTATCTTCCATCACTCTGCCAAAGTGGCTGTCCACGGAGAAGGGCGAAAGTCCTCGCCTTCTTCGTCTTTTAGTCGTTTGGCCATCTCTACCTGTTGATCCCATGCGAACGTTCAAAGTAAATACGGACTTAGCGCTTAAAGCGTTTTTGACCGATCCCAATGTCGCCTCGGACTGCAACTCGCGTTTTACCAAATCAAACAGCTTTGAAGACGCAGATTTAACTATAAGAAGATGCCTTGAGGTTGGTAATTTGATACTCTACTTTGCTCTTTGTACGCCTATTACTGTGACAGTTGAATAGGAGAGGTTGGACTCAGTTTTATGGAAAGAGGTGTAGACTTGAAGGATATCTCAGTCGATTTAAGCCGCTCTCAGTTGAAGTTGCACCAATAGAATGTTCTTCTACAATCTATATTGCATTTAGTGCTGTCATCACCAGTTGTACTTACCTATAAAATGCGCTCCAGTGGATAGTGGGTATGATGCACAATTTCTACTTAATGCTGTGTGTAGGTTCACAGCGTTGGCTGAATGTGACCTAAATCCGTCTTGTATGCGTCATCATTCCTGACCTATCCGTTGATCCTGGCAGTTCGCATTTATTTCCTCTACCTGCTAGACAGAAAAGAAGGTCATGCGTAATAAACAAATACTAGCCTTTCCTACCTACTTCATTTTTGCCGTTTCGTCACTGTCACCTCACCTTTTGTGTCACGCAGCAGTTTCTGTACCTCATGGGATGAGTTTTGATTTCTTTTTGGACTCACAGTCATGCGTGTAAATCTCTAATGCTGTCCATTTATCAAACTTTTTACCGCTTTCTTTAGGAGTTCATCAAGACAGCAAATGTGACTCACACTCAACCATGTGACACCAACGAGAAGAATCCAACGACTGTTGTGCTAAACACTTGGCTTGAAAAAGCACCAAAATACCTCATTCTCCACCTTAATCGATTCGTCCATGTGCCTGCGTCTAGTGGTAAGACCCTAAGTTCCTCCCCTTTCTCCTCCACTCTGTGCTCCCCTCCTCTCCCTTTTCTTCAACCCTTGATGCAGCACAATGCATTATGATCAGCTTTGCCTCGATCTAACTTCATAACTTCAGGTGGCAACGGACTGATGAAAATTAACGCCTTGGTAAAATATCCAACAAACGACTTGGATCTCTCATTCATGCTTAGTCAATCCAATTCGAAGAGTAGTAAGTCTCATATTGTGCCTCAAATGCTTGCATGTTTTTCCTCACATCCCTTCCAATGTCGCCACATTCACATATAAGGTGAAGCTGGTGTTTGTCGAGTGTGGATGTCATTTTTGTATTCACGTGATACATTTCTCGACATGGCACGTGGAGCATCACCCTTGTGAAAATGCCTTTGTGACGAAATCTCAACTGTTTGATATTTTGTGGTCAAATTTTTGATTATGACTATTTTAATTTAAACAAGATCAAGCATGCAGGAATTAAAGTTGACCGCAATCTTGTAGTTAGCGGGTTACTGCCGTCCTCTTCACTTTTCAACAGACCGCGGGAATAGGAACCTGAGCAACAATGATTCGAGCAAGCTAGTGTACGACCTTGTGGCTGTCTGCAATCACAAGGGTTCAATAGAGACGGGACACATTACTGCCTATTGTAAAAGCCTAGTTTCCGGCCAATGGTGGCATTACAACGACCTCAAAGTTCAAAAAGTCTCTCCCGACCAGGTGGGCTTAAAGGACAAAATTAAATTCTGAAGCATTTTTACTTATTTTAAGTTAGTAAAAAGATAACGATGCATTATATTTTCTTAGGTTGTGCAACCTGGCGCCTACATTCTCTTCTACAAGAAGCGTAATGCCGATGTGGGCGATATCCGTGAGACTGTGAAAAAGTTATATGAAATCTCTAAAGGGGGGCGAGATCGGGAGGTGGCAAGCAGGTCTCCATCTTCTGTTACCCCGGCTACCAGAAAGCGTACGTCCTCTACCCGTCCTTCCACTTTATTCAGTTGGCTGTTGAAGCGGCCACGACGGTAGAATTGTTAACTTCTCCATCGCATCCTATCTAATCTTAATCTTGTTACATTAAAAGATGATCCTTCTCAAATTTTGCCTCATGGGACGGGCTGCGAGGATGAGTGGGTGGGGACACGTGTTAGGTCACTGTGTTACTCACGGCTTTTTCTCCTCGTGTCACTGATTACATTCGCCGAAAGGATACATTTTGGGGCCAATTTAAACCAGTATATCTTATTAACGCAGTGAATGCTCAGTTGCTCGTACTCTTCGTGTTTAGTCATCTTGCCTCGGCATTATTTTGTACTACGTCAATGGAAGTATGAAACTAGCACCATACAGGTTAATCAGCTCAAGGCTTTGCAATGCTAGCATTTTATTGACGCATTTTACCCAATCAGTTTACCTCTTCAATGAAATCCTTGGCTTGTAAGTCTGTCAATAATCTGCTCACCCTTCGCCATTGTAAATTTCGCTTCGGAGACCGCAGTGTGGTTGATGCGGAAGATTAAATGACCTAGTTTAGCGGGATTGGGATGTGGTTGGAAAGTGGTAGATGAACAGTTCTTCTTCCAATTTCAAATATCGGTCAGTAGGAAAATGAGCCGCCAAAACTCTGCCTACGGTAATTGGAGTTATGATCAAATCTTGCATTTCATTTGAACGATAATAAGCTGAAAGTTTTTATAATGACGTTTGGGCTAATCTTGCACTAGTTAAATGTGCATTGTGGTAGGCATTGGCATTTCCCCTTCTCACTGTCGTGGTTTTGGATCTGCTTGTGGCGGTTCATGGTATCTATCCTTTCTTGTTCGGGTGCCTGCCGGGTATTGTCAGAACCTTGCTGGAGAAATGAAATCGCCTGTGAGGACTGTCATTTCGGTCCTTTAGAGGTGTTTATTGGAGGCACAATACAATGCAAAGGAGTGTCGCTTTGTGAGTGCCGTGTTTCGAGGCTGGTGAGTGAATCCTAAGTAAAGGCTTCTCCATAGGCGAGGAGGGTAGATTTCTGTAGCACTTTCGAAGGAGCGGAATGTATGGAGTGCTTCGGTTATGAACTAATTCGAATTGAGTTGGCTTACTGTGTTGCAGTTTTTTTACAATCCTGCAGGGCGTTTGTGATCTCACAAATTGACATTTTTTTACATTTTTGCCTTGTAGCTCCAGTGGCTCCCAAACCACGTCTTTCCCATGCATACACGAATTCGCCGTCAAAGGCTTTGACATAGACTGAGACTTTGGATTTGGACTTTCACCCACGGGGATGTGGCAATGGTTATTAGTCTTCTGGATTCAACATGGAAAAGCTGTGATCTATTGTCAGGCCTACCTTCTCATCCTCTCCTAGTACCCTTAGCCTTCTCTTCTGACTTTCTCATTTCAGCTGTGACCGTATGGTCGTCTCTTACTACTGCGTCTATTTTTGCAACTCCCTCTCCACCTCAACCAGCAATAGTGTTTTACTCCCTGCCTCCCTTTATTTCGCTCCCTCTAACTTCATTATTATTACTATTGTTATTACTATTATCGACGGAAATACAGATGCCATTTGCGGAATTTGGTCTCTTCTTTTTTCACAGGGTAGAGCAGAATGACGTTAAGTGCGGTTTCGCCTCAAAGTGGAGCTCGCTATGGTTGTTATCCTGCACTAAGCCATAACGGTGCTAAAGTCTTGGGTGAAGTTCAAAGCGAGAGACTGAAGGCGCGCAAACAGCTAAGTCCAAAGGTATGAGACAAAGTGAATGGGAAGATAACAGACTATACGCGTATCCTACGCTAGCCTTTTCTGCAGGGTATATCGTAGAACACGAAGAGTTGACCGAAAATAAAGTGAAGAGGAGAGGAGGGAAAAGAAAATTGGGCAACAATGGGTACTGATGCGACGTAGTTCGAATTGTGGATTGCACAGTGTGTTGTGCATGATTAGGAAACGAAGACAAAAAAGAAATCTTAGCAGGTGATTCATTGTTGAAGAATTTTATTGGATGGTACGGTTTGAGTAATTGAGGGAACTCTGTGGAGACTGTAAAGGGAAGGTAGGTGCGGAATGAAGCAGCCTATTGGGTGAGTGCCACAACGAAGTAAGCAACAGATTGCCTGCAATACTGACTGAAGGGAGGAGGGGCGTGACAAACGAAAAGGCTGGAGGGTCGGTAAAGTAGGGCTAAAAGGATTAGACATTAATGGGTACCAAACTTGAGGAGGAGAGGGAAGATCGGATGAGAAGTTACACCAATGAACAGTTGGATCGGTCCAATGCATTGTTACCAAAGTTAAATAAAATTACCACGAATGATGAGTATTAGGTCCTGGTTGGGCGCGGGTAAAGACATCACTTAAGGCCACGAGAACGAGATTCGTCGTTCCACAATTTGTGCATTTGCCATTTATGACCTGGTTGGGGTTATGAGGAAAAGTAAAAAGCGAATTGCGAGTAAAAGTAGAGCTGAACAGTCGAAGAAAAGCTTTAAAATGATAAAGAAAACAAGTGATTCGTTGCTGTGGTCTACCATTTGAGCGGCTAGGAATAGGGCAGTGCAGGAAACCAGTGTTGGAGAAGTGCGGACACTCACATGGACTTTGGAGCAGCGGGTGCGGAGATAAGAAATAAGGTGATAATGCCCAAGAGATGAAATCATCTACAACCTCCAAAGTAATCTAGTATAGGGGGATGGGGGGAGGGGAGGAAGAGAATTCGGTAGTGTGAGTATACGAGTAAAAAGTTGCATGGAAGGACGTAGAAGTAGAGCGCCAAGAGTGATTGCTCGGGGTGAGACAATGCAAGTACACAAATGCACAAAACAAGCCATTGACGGTTGAATTTGAACGCGCCTCTGTTTATGTTTGGACTAATCAAGTGGTTTAAACAGTACGAGTTTTGTCAGCGTGTTTTGTCCTTTTTTGCAAAACAACTTTAGCCAAGGTTTTAATTTGCTAAGTTTCATAGACAACTTTTTGCTCTACATTATAATGTCAATATTTGTTCCATTCATTCAAAATTTTTTAGCACCAGCGCTGTTTTTGTGCGTTTTTATGTGAGCCATCTTTGGTTCCCTTTCAAGATACTTCTTATAGGTTAGAAGAAACAGTAAGTGGAACCGAAGATATGTATTCCAAAACGAACAAATCACATGGGTCTGCGCATGGCCCAAAGGCCAGCCCGCGCGTACACGGGCCAGATGAACCTTAAAGTGACCTCCAGACATAGGGTGATCACACAAACAAATTATAGTACTGCCCCTCTCCTTTCTTGAGCAACAGCCTTGGTGCTCTCCCGCACCAGCCGCCACGACATATTCAGTACTGCAACAAAGCACCCACGAGCCAGCAGCACCAATCAAAAGCTACCATGAGACTCCTCAGCAGCTTCTACGGGATCTGGAATCGCATTCGATCCGACAGCCAGAATCGAGGTCTATACACCTGTTGCTTCCTGTTCTAAATGGTGGAAATCAGAATGTTCCGCACATAAGAAGAACCGTAGTGTCAATTCCGAAACTTGTACACGGGTGTAGTAAGAAGGAATTCCAACACGAAACTTTTCCAAATGGTTCAAAGCGGTGTTGCTTCAGTTGTTAATCGCTTGTTTGTAAAACATGAGGATTAGGTGAAGGTTTTTGAAGGGTTTAGAAAATCTCCCGCCTCTGCTGCTAATGAGCCTCCTCCATACCATATTTACATGCAACAAACTGTATATTCCAGGATGGAAGTCGTTAAAATACGTCGAGTTCGCTTTTCGCTACCACCACTGTAGCATCCCAAGGCTTTCCACAGAGTAGAAGGCATTAAGTGGAGCTGTAAAGCATTTTATTCCGGATAGAAAAAAGGGATTAAGCCTGATCTTGGTTCGAAGCCCAGCCCACACGTACAAAAACCAGACAAATCGTGAAGTTACCGCCAGACATCAGTTGGTCACACAAAGTTTTACAACAGCGACTCCTCATAGTCTAGCCATCATTGTAGAGTTCATGAGGGGATAGGTAGGAAGGGGTTGAGACGATCTATTGAAAGCAAGGGCCCTCCTTCCGTGATAATCAGATGTGGCTGCAACATCCCAAGACTTTCCATTTAGTAAAGGAAGGCGCTCAGAAGGGCTAAATGCATTTACTCTAAGCGAATATGGAGATAATGAAGTTGGTCTCGGCCCACGCAAACAAGAGCAGGATGAAAACTAAAGTGGCTGCCAATCATCAAGTTATTCTAATAACGTAGATTTTTTACAGTGACAACCAGCAGAGGCACGAATTTTATGGTAAATTAAGTTACTAAGCCACATCACCGGTAAAAGTTACATCCTCTCATCATCAAGATGAAGACTAGGTCCGCTGATCTCTACGTCACGCATGAAGGCGAGCCAGGCTAGGCTCTATGCGTGTGGCATTCGTCATGGGTAAATACATAATTGTAAAACTAATCCCTTTACGGTGCGCGGAAATATTTTTTTCAAGAAAATGCACTCCTATCAGGAATCGTGATTGGTTGATTACTGGACACCGTTAAGGTCACGTCACCGGTTTGTGATAGCTTCATTTTACCTAATTTGTAGTAAAAAAATGGTGCGAGTCGTCTATTCCATGCTTGTCATTTTGCTCATTTCTCCGCACACCTCGATTTGCGCCGTAATAGAGCATAAAGGGTTTGAGGTAACAACAGACATTATCTCACCAACTCGTGTTCGTCTCTCGTGGGAGAGTGAAAGCGAGGTGGAAGGTACTAAAGCTTCACGTTTTCGCGTTCTCTGCTCCTCATCAGACAGAGCTCCAATCGAAGCAATCGTCACAACAACAACCGTGGAATTGGACACCTTCAAGCCCGGAGTGGAGTACACTTGTGAAGTGCATCCAGTGTGGGATAGCCTATTTAATGGACTCGAAGTGATTTCAGCAAATCCTGGCATTTCGCAACCATTTGTGATGAACTTTAAGGAGCAGGCGGATTTAAGTATGTTTATTCCTGCTTTTTTTTTTGATATGCTTTCATTGGCCTCGCTTGACAACGGTCATCTGATACCTCATAATTGTGGAATTTATAAATGCATATTGGCATATTAGACGAAGGGCCTCCTCAAACAGGGTTTAGCTGTCAATCAAAGTAAAAGCTTTACGAGTTTAGCTTTGATAAACTAATTGGGTCTATCAACATGGCGCGATTTTTTTTGTAAAACTCTAGCTAAAGCCCCCACCAACTACTAACTGCAGCCTAAAAGTTATGAATTTTCAAGGAGCGTTGTCATCTTATGGTATCTTCAGAGCGTTCTCACGAATCCACTCCGTCATAAATGTGTAAATTTGGTAAAAAGGTCACAAGGTTGAAAAGTTAGCAGTGTAATCCCCTGCATGGCAGGAGGACAGGAGGTCTTTGACCCACGGCATAAAGGTCAAGCCCGCCAGTCGAGTCAGGAATTTTAAAAAAATGCAAAATCCGTATCAATCAAATTATCACCTATGCTTACAAGTGAAAGGTGGTAAAGTACTTTAATGATTGACGGTTTTCGATGGATGAACGCTGGCACTAACGTACACACTGCGAGGTAACGTTCGGGTCAGTTTGATGTACTTTTGATTATTGCGTAGCCTGTACGCCAACTTTTTACATTCTCTACACCATCAGGCACATCTTGCCCTGTAAGGTGAACTTTTAGGCGTAGACTCAGGGTTAGGGTTAAATTTGAGCTTGTAAGTTGCAGGAAAAACAGTGAAGAACGGAAGTTCGTGGGTGCGAGAACGTGAAAGTGGTTTGCAAGAAGGCCTCAATTACCGTCGATTAACATATTTGCATGCTCAAAGGGACAGGCGCGCTCCAAATTTTGACTATTGTAAAAGTACAACATTGGCGTGAATGTCTTCACGGATTTAATCTGTGTGTCCTCAACTTCACCTTGTGCCTAAGATGCTCGCAGGTACTGCCGTGGGTTTCTCGAAGACCTTCAAGTTACTCTCTGAGGTGACAGTAATCAAATAAGTCTGTGATGTAAAACGATAATAGAAAAAGTGAGAAACACGCATTTACTGCAAATTACAGCCTTTTTATTTGTCTTAAATGTGCTCCTTTTGGTCCCTCTTACCAGCTGCAAAGAGTAAGACTGAGGAAGGAAAGGGTGGAAGTTATCAGGGCAGTAATGCAGACTATGAGCAACAAAGGGCAGAAGAAGGAATGAAAGAACCTCAAACCACATTGGAAGGGTCAGGAGACTTCACAGCAGTGAAGCAAGAAGATCACATTCCCGAGGTAAATGCAGCACCACACGTTCGTGCAGAGTCCACCGGCGGACAGATTGCAAGAGTGATGTGGAATCCTGTGGAGGCAAATGGAACAAACGCTTCAAGGTATCGTATCATTTGCCAAACAGAGGATCCCCTCCAACAACCAATCAAGGTTGCCTCGACCAAACAAACTGTGGTGGAGGTGGGAGCATTTGAACCAGGTCTTGAATACAGCTGCTCCGTCTACGCTATTTGGGATGATTTGGTTCCTGGTGTGGAGGTAATGTCAATAGCTCCTGGAATTTCAAACGCCTTCAAAATACCTAGTATAGGTGAGTTATGCTTCTTTACAGACTGATGACGTTGTCGCGATCTCTGGACCATTCAACCTTTATATGCAAGAAAGAAAATCAGTTTCACAGTAAGATAACTTAGTTCGCCCACAATAATTCATTTGTCCTGCAAAATTCGGTGTCCCCAATTCTAATGACAAAGGCCTTTTTAAATAAGACAAATAAGGCCAGACTTTCCATTCCACCGTCGGATAAGTTGGTGGAGACAGCTAGATGAAAATTGGCGCATATGTTAACACCAAAGGGAGAGGTATGTGTGGCTAGTTTATTCTGACATTCTCCAGTTAAATGAAGCATTTATTTTCTTTCCTTCCAGCTGGATGCCGCCTCGTATCAACATTTGCCCTTCTCTTCTCCCTCGCTTTCACTACATACACACAAATGTAGCTCTCCTGTCATTCAGACCAATGAACCTCAGCTATCACTTATATAGTGCAGATGATTTCACTTTAAAAAAAAAAACGAAATTCAAACAGTTAACAAGAGCTCGGAGGAGGCACAGTGCCCATGGCAACCTATTATTCTGATTTGTGATGACTATTCTTGGCATGCATTCCAAAAGGATGTAACACTTCTTTTCTGAATGTCTTGTTGATGCTACATACCTCGAATTCGGAGCTCTGGTAGTCCCCTTCCATCCATAATGAGTAGCAAACACCGAAATGTGTGTACTCGCATTGCAGGTGATGCAGAGTTGCACGTCACCTTTCAAATCTTGTCTACTCTTGGCTAATCATAATGCTGCTCCTAGGCTGTGTGCTACCTACCGTGTTATTATACTACTTCATCTTAATCTCTAATTGGCATTAACGACCAAACGCCTACTGACACATAATAGGTAGAACCACGACGTTTGAAGATATAATAAAGTTAAAGCTCATCTTTTCCTCTGAAAGTTTAATGCCAACTCACTATTACCTAATTTCATCCTTTTCCACAAATTCCCGATCTGGTTCACACATCCCTCGGACTACCACATGAAGCCAAGTGCTCCAAACCCCTCCAAACGTCACACAAACTTACCTAATTGGAAGTCTTCAATGATTCAATTTCAAAGGAACAAAAAATTACATTTCCAATCACCTCTTTAAAAAGATTAAAAAAATATCTCACAAAATAATTATCCTACACGAGCAGTAAATCACTCATTCACTCAGCATCAATGTTAGGTAACCAGAAGGAAGTCTGTACAGATCCCGTAGCGAGCATAGCAAAACGAGGGTTAAATGCGACACAATTGAGCATCCCACTGGGTCCGGTCATTTGACTTGCCGCCTCGAAGCTTGGTAATGCAGCCACTCGTCCACCTGTCTCGACCGACCAAACTTGAAGAAAAGCGTCCGGTGCGGTGCTGATTACGAACTGGCTGGTGGGCGTGAAACAAGCATCTAAGGTCTGTCGCTCCGTATTATTTGCCACCTTTAAAATAAAAAAAACAACCAAGTTGCTACTATTTCGCCCTTAAACTCTCAGCACATCTCATAAAATGTTAAAAAAAATTATAACAGCAGGTCTGGAGGTACAATGGAAGTGCAAGGTTGAGGCAAAATGAACCTATGTTAACTTGTCCACATAACAGACAAATTTTAGCTCGATTTCAAGGCTCCAAAACGACGTAAAGTTTGTGACAAGAAACGTTCAAGCAATGATTGACACCTATGACTAACATCTGGGAATCACTTGCCATAATTAAAAAATTGGTCGGTGTGTAAGGAACATACTAGTGATCAACATAGGCAGTAAAACAAATACACGAACTTGCACCATGAAGCTCGTGCAGTTTGTAAGTTCTTGTAGAAGTTTCAGCAACTTCTATCACCGCGGTCAAAATGTCGCCAATGTGGTTGAATAATAAACTACATGAACCACTTACTATTTGGTATGCTATTCGACTTCCAGTACACCCTTATGTTATAGGTAGTTTCATAGGCTTTTAGACCTTAGATTCAGAACAATGTCTCGGAAAAAAATCGAAAACGGCACACCACAGACGACAGACCGAATTACATGGCTGAATAAAGTGGGCGAAAGAGATGCAAGCAAGGATACAAGTCATACATATACTGGGCCTGCTTTATCAAATGTGCGTGCAACTAACGGTTCTAAACGGCTATTGTAAAGTAAAAAAGGCGTATAGAGCTAATATACGATTTAAAAATCGAATAAGAAGTTTGGGCCGTCAAACGGGCGCAGGATAGACGGTTACAATACATTCACAAAAATTTTGCGAACACCTGTGAAATCAGTAGCAAACCCAAAGAATGTGCCTTTTATAATGAAAAAAACACAAAACCGTATCGCAACAAGGGGAAAAAATATCCAGCGCACCCTAAAACCAAAAAATAATAATTCGCAGAACAGAAAAAAATCATCACCAGTATATCAAGGAGACGAAGGTTTAAATAAGTGAATTAACCCACCGTGAGTGTGTGAAGATGAACCCCAGAAAAGGCGTCCACTAGACGAAGGAAATTGCCGTTTGTGCAGATAAGGATAGTTTTCCCGTCTGGAGAAAATTTAAGGCTAGTCCACTCGATTCCCTGAGCCTCTACGGTAGTTAATTTAAAGGTGGCAAATGGGCCTTTGTCAAAAGAGCGCAAATCGTACAGTTTTAGGCACTCAGAATTTATTCCAGCAGCAAAAATTAAACCATCCGGATCAAATGCTGCTGTGGGACGACCGGGTACGTGCATCACACCCTACGAAGAATAAGAATGAATTTTTTAAAAGATACCCTAGATAAATATTGAAATAAAAATCTAGCATGCGCAAGTTGTAAGCTAAAAATCAAGCTTTTCAGGATTCTTTATCTTGACAATACGGGAGACTTGGATCTTAAAGTACCTGCTGAATACGCTCAAAAGATAAGGTAGTTCATGCATTATGCATTACAACAACGGTGGAAAATTAACAAAAGATTGTAAGAGTAAAATAATGAATACTAACATGACAATTTTGAGAACGTAAGTCCCATAGCCTCACGGTACCATCCAATGCCCCAGACAGGAATGTGTCATCGATGGGAGACATACACAAAGACACAACGCTAATTAAACATAGGAGAGAAATATGAACGAATTACCGTTTTACATGACTTTGAAAGTACCGAATGTACTTGTTATCGTGAAGCGATAAATACCTAATTGTATCTAAGTTACCAAAATAGAATAACGCAAATCACTGTTACCATCGATCTTTGTTGAAGCATGAATTGCAGTCGTCGCGCTATGAGTAAACTGGATGAGATTGACACCATATTTCTTGCTGTTAATCGTTCTTTTAGGACTAAAGTGCATAATGTTAGACAAAAACAAATAAGTCTGACAAAATTGAAATGTCAAAAAGCATGTAAGCTGATAACAATAAGGGCCAACTTAATGCCAGATTAGTTCAGCAAACGAAATTAACAAGACGCGCTCGTAAGTATTCACGCCCGCAAGGTAACACAATTACTCTCGAAAACTTCAAGGCATCACTAACAGAAACTCAAAAAGATGGAGAAAATGTTGACATATCAACGATGAAAATCTGAGAGGACTCACGTCCCAGAGTTGCAGTCATACATGATCATCTGATCATCGTCACTACTGGATATAATAGCTTCCCCATTATCAGTGTAACTCAGAGAGTTAATCTTATCACAATTTTCCTTGAAATATTTCACAGGACGGAACGTTTTCACCTCCGACACCGTCAACTTCATCTTAGCCTCCAATTGTTTTCAATGGTTATCCAAAGTTTCGATATAGATAAACAAGGCGAACGATTAAATAAGTGAACTTAACAGCGTTTGTTTATAACTTGCGGGGCAAAAAAATTTTATCACTGAACTTCCTGTGGACTTTTAGGCTCATCACTTTAGAATGCATTGATGAGCTTAAAAAACTGAGTATATAAATCCATTATAGAGGTCAAGGCGACCTTTGTGTTTGTAGGAGCAAGAATGCGGCATTACTTATAATATTGACTAAACATTATTCTTGCTATGCTTTTTCTGGTAGAGTGCGCAAAAGCATTAATTTTTTTCAGATAGCAGGAAATAGTCGATGCGGGCAAGAAACTCTCTCCAAGACTATTGTGGCCTTACGATAGGCAGAGCCGAACGAACGTTTTCAACGAGAGTGACCTAGTGCAACTGTACAGACAGATTTCTCCACCGGGAACCCACCAGTATTTTACCATCCCTGGAAATAGTATTGCCGCCGCTAGTCAAGTTCCTCTTACAGAATGCAGTTTCTCATAACAAGATTAGGTTATATGCAGGTCCAATTCGGTGGGTTACGAAGACAGTAGATGATAAGTCACCTGACGGAACTCCAACGGCTTGCACCAAGGGTGGTGATTGAAGGGAAGTGGGCTCTGCAAAACATACTAACGTGTTTAAGTTCCCTCTGCGGGGGATAGGCAAATAATCAATCGAAACACGAATCCGGTTTGTGAGGAACCCGATATTCTCCCTTTCCTTTTTCGTACAAATGCTTGAAAACTTTCCCAACCAACTTCCTTATACAGTCAGAGATTCAGGGATCTAAGGAATGACTTGGGGGTCTTACACTAAGATAAATACGAAGCTGTCCGTTTCTCATACAGACAGTCGGATAAACAAGGTATTTCAATGCTCTTCTATCGTCTCTTTCAACTTTACACCTGTGTCAGCCACAGATATGGCAGGGAAGTACCTATGAGACATCTTCACTAATCATTAGCTTATAAGCGGCCGAAGGATCATGTTTGGCATCACCACCAGATTTAGTAGCTAAAAGAGAGACACCTGAACGATGGTCTTAAATAGATGCAAGAAAATAAACTGATGGTTTACGGAGTTGACGCTTCATTTGTTAATAGCTTCATAGTGTAACAGCGGTGGTGGAGCGGATGCCAAACACGGATGTCATTGTCAATATTTCTGATGTAAAGGGATGGATGTTTCAACCTCCTGAAGTACATGCATGTCATTTGGCCCGCATTGGTTTATCGGAGCTTCCTTTTGGATAAAAGAAGATATTTGTAGCATCCCGAGGCTTCCAATGGTGTAGTAGAAGACATAAGTGAGGTTGAATACGTGTATTCCGAAAATAATAGAAGAAATGGGGCCTGAGCGTGACCCGAAGGCCAGCCCACGTGTACAGGGCCCAGACAAGTCCTCAAGTGACCGCCAAACGTCAGATGGTCGCATAAACAAATCATTACACTGCCCCTCTCTTCTTTTGAGCGACGTCCTCGGCGCTACCCTTTGGTACACCTCCTGCTCCAGCCATCACAACATATTCGGTGCCACAAGAAAGCATCCACGAGCCAACCGCGCCAGTCGACAGACAACGCGAGAGCGAGGAACCGTATTTGATCTTCTCGGCAGCTTCAACTGGGTCTGGGTTTCGTTCGGTCTGACAACCAGATTCGGGGACCCCTGCATCTGTCGACCATTAATTGCTTCCAGAAATACACGGTGAAGCTCTGGTCTACAACAGATATGTTACAGGGATAAGGGGACGGGCCACTGTCCCCTATGCGAGGAGATCCGTTGTGTCATTTCCGACACCTAAACAGGGGTTCTATATGGAAAATTCCCACACAAAACTTTTCCAGATATTTTACGGCGGTGTCGTTTCAGTTGTTAATAGCTTGTTTGAGGAATACGGGAATAAGGTGAAACCAAATGTAGACCTCATTCTCAACCCTTTCGTTGAGAAGGGTACAGGAATCCTCCGTCATCAAGGTAAGTGCGTCTCCTTCAATTCACGTCCCTTTTTCGCCTGTATCTTTATCTACTGCATGTATAGCTCATGATTGCCAAAATGCGCTTCCTAATCTTGAATTTCTCCCCTAGAAGCAGAATTCGTTTGCAGTCTCGTCTTCTGGTTGGATTATAGCCTTCATGTCGTGAAAAGAGTGATTACTGTCGAGGGAACCCGATTTTGAGGTATCTGCACATATTGAACCAGTGCATCATCCGATCGAACCCTTGCTTGTCGGTTTGTTCGTACTGTTCTTTTCCGAAAATCAATCGGCTAATTGGCAAAGTTTAGCAAGGCAAACGCAGGATGTCAGTAAGACAGTGGTGTCTGTTGGGCAACACATTTTCCCACACACTATGTCGCTTTCAAAAGCAACCCTATACCTAGAAGTCGTTAAAAAGATGTCGGGTTCGATTTCCGCTGCCACCAATGTAGCGTCCCGAGGCTTCCAATGGGGTAGTAGAAGACAAAAGTGAGGTTGAATACATGTATTCCGGAAGTAATAGGAGAAATGGGGCCTGAGCGTGGCCCGAAGGCCAGCCCACGTGT